CATCAGATATTCATTATTTCTCTTAGTGACTGGATAAGTATTCTCTCTGGGAAGGCTTGGGTTGGGTTGGGTGGTCTAAGATGGCTTTATTCACATGTATGGGGTCCTAGCTGAGACATCTAGGACAGATAGGACCTCTTTATAGTCTTATCTTCCAGAAGGCTATCCCTAGATAGTTTATTGTACAGTAGGATTCTCAGTAGCAAGAGAGCAAAACACAGCTGGAAGACTACTGAGAGTTAAGTTCAAACCTCAGATAGTGCCATTTGCATTGTATCCTATTGGCCAAAGCAAGTGCTAGGCCAGCCCAGTTTCAGGGAGTGAAGAAATTGACTTCACCTTTTGATGAGAGCTACTGCAGGGAATTTATGACCATTTGTAGTCTATCATAGTAGAGTATGTATTCTCTTTTCCACTCTTTCTCACTTCTCTCCTTCTCTCATTATAAAATTTAATTAAATTTAGATTTGTTTCATTATTTTAATTATCTATATACTTATTAGTTAGAAACTAGGCTAGACTGCTAAATAAAGAGACCCCATAAAATTGAATAGCTTAAACAAAATAGAATATTATTTATCTGTCATGGAAAGTTTGGGTAGATGTGGCTATAATAGTTTGATGTTTTCTGGGACCCTGTTTCTTTATTTTTTGCTCTCATTTCTCATTGAAATTTAGAAATTTTACAAGATTTTAATTTTTACTTAGTTCAAAAAAGTGTTGTTTTCCTAGTTATTTCTTTATTATTTATCTTTCTTCTTCCTTTTATCCCTCTGGAACATCGTTTTCAACAGTTTGACTCTGATGTGTGTGGGCATCATTTTCTTTTCTTTTTATTATTATTATTTTATATATTTTTATTGACTTTTTACAGAGAGGAAGAGAGAGGGATAGAGAGTTAGAAACACTGATGAGAGAGAAACACCGATCAGCTGCTTCCTGCACGTCCCCTACTGGGGATCGAGCCTGCAACCAAGATACATGCCCTTGACCAGAATCAAACCCTGGGACTTTTCAGTCCATGGCCCGATGCTCTATCCACTAAGCCAAACCGGTCAGGGCTCTTTTTATTTTTAAATCTTTATTGTTGAAAGTATTACATAGGTCCTTCTTTTTCCCCCATTAACCTCTTCCAGCCTGCTCCCATCCTGCCCCAGACCCCCCTCCCTCACCACCCCATTGTCTGTCTTGTCTTCCTTCTGAGGTTCAACAGTTTGTTCATGCTTCTATGACTCTGGGTCTACTTTTGATTATCAGTTTATTTGGTTCATTAGACTATTTTCTTTATGTATATCAACTTAGAGTTTACTAAACAACTTGAGTAGGTAAATTTCACCAAGTTTAGAAAATTTTCAAATAAATTTTCCAAGCCAACCAATTTTTCTACTCTGTTCTCTCTCTCTCTCTCTCTCTCTCTCTCTCTCTCTCTCTCTCTCTCTCTCTCTTTCTCTCTGCAATTACTTGTTAGTTATTTGATATTATTCCAAATGTTTTTCAGTCTATTCACTTTTTCCCATCATTGTTCTCTTTGTCTTTAGATACATATTTTCTATTATATATCTTCAAATGATCTCACTCTATACTGCCATATCCAATCTGCTCCCTTGTTCATCCATTCAATTTTTAAAATCAGATGCTATATTTTCTATACTACAATTTATATTTGGCTGTTTTTATAGTTTCTATTTCTATGCTGGGATTTCCATAATTTAATTCATTATGAACATATTTTATTTTGGATACTAGAGTCCCAGTGCACGAAATTTGTGCACCGGGGGAGGGGGTGTGGTCCCTCAGCCCGGCTTGCACCCTCTCCAGTTAGGGACCCCTCAGGGGATGACCGACTGCCTCTCGCAATCCTGAACCGCTGGCTCCTAACCACTTGCCTGCCTGCCTGCCTGCCTGATCACCCCTAACCCTTCTGCCTGCCTTCCTGATCGCCCCTAACCACCTCTGCCTGCCTGATTGCCCCTAACCACCTCTACCTGTCTGATCCCCACTAACCACTTCTACCTGCCTGCCTGATTGCCCCTAACTGCTCCCCTACCATCCTGATCGCCCCTAACTGCTCCCCTGCTGGCCTGATCACCCCTAACCGCCCCTGCCTTGCCCCGCACCCAGGACCCAGGCTTCCCTCCCTCTGGCTGGCCGCAGGCACCCAGGACCCGGGCCGGCTTTGCCTGGGCTGGCTGCAGCTACAGGGGACCTTGGGTGGGTTGCTTCACCTGGGCTGCAGCCTCAGGCACCCGGGACCATGGAGTGGGTGGCTTGTCCCTCTCCTGGGCAGCAGCTGCAGGTGCTGGTGCCCAGGACTGTGGGGCAGGAGGCTTGTCCCTCTGCCAGGCTGCAGGTATAGATGCAGCCACTGGTACCCGGGACCAAGGGGCAGGCGGCTTGTTTCTCTCCAGGGCTGTAGGCACAGCCTCTGGCTCCCGGGACTGTGGGGACCATGGAGTGTGTGGATTGTCGCTCTCTCGGGCTGTGGGTGCAGGTGAAGCTGTTGGTGCCCAGGACCATGGGATGTGTGGCTTATCTCTCTCCTGAGCCACAGGTGCAGACGCAGCTTCTGGCGCCTGGGACTGTGGGGCAGGCGGCTTGTCCCTCTCCTGGGCTGCAGGCACAGGCGCAGCAGCTGGCACCCAGGACTGCAAGGAGGGCAGCTTGTCCCTCTCCCAGGCCACAGCCCCAGCCGCTGGTGCCCGGGATCATGGGGTGTGTCTTGTCCCTCCCCTGGGCCACAGGTGCAGGCACAGCCACTGGTGCCCAGGACTGTGGGGCAGGCAGTTTGTCCCACTCCCAGGCCACAGCCTGGCTGGTTCCCATTCCTCTCTCTCCCAAGCTCATTTGTGCATGGCTGATTCCCATTCCTCTCTCGTGAGTTCATTTGTGCCTGGCTGGTCCCCATTATTCTCTTGTGAGTGTTGAGTGTGTGGTCCCCATCCTCTCTCCCCAGTGTTGAGTGTGTTACGGTGTGACAGTGTGAGGGCATGATGACCATTTGCATATTAGCTCTTTATTATATAGAATTGTTATAAGAGTTGCTTTACAATTTTTATACTAATTCTAAAAAACAGACTATGTTGGGATCATTCTCTGTGATTGTCTTTTATCTTAAGAGTAAGGATAATTTCCTATTTCTTCAAATGTCAAGTAATTCTAAATTGTATCTTGGATATTGGGAATGTCATGTTGAAATTCTGGATTCTGCTATATTCTTGCAATGATTGGTATTATTTTGATTGTTTTGTTTTAATATACACTGAGTGGCCAGATTATTATGACCACCTGACATTTGTAGGCAAATTAGCCATACACTGCATCGTATGGAATATGGAAGCTGAAGGCCTGTTCGAACACCTTTGCTGCCTGCAGTTACCAAGATAAAACGTCTCCAATTCACACAGGAACACAAGGATTGGACAGTCGAGCATTGGATAAAAGTCATGTGGTCCGATGAATCACGTTTCAGTTGCATCATGCAGATGGCAGAGTGAGAATTTGGCGGAAACAGCATGAAAGCATGCACCCCACATGCATGAGTACAACACTTCAAGCTGGTGGGGGCAGTGTTATGGTTTGGAGCATGTGTTCCTGGCATGATTTGGGCCCTTTAATTCATGTGGAACAACGTCTGAATAGCACAACATACCTAAGTATTGTTGCTGATCAAGTTCATCCTATCATGTTGATGGCGTATCCCAATGGAGATGGCTTCTTCCAACAAGACAATGCACCATGCCACGGTGCTCGTATTGTGCAGGAGTGGTTTCAAGAACATGAGGGAGAATTTACCTTGCTTAGGTGGCCCCCACAATCAGCAGATCTCAATCCAATTGAGCATTTGTGGGATGAAGTTAAAAGAGCCATCAGGCAGCTGGTTCCACAACCATCAAATCTCACAGAACTGGACAGTGCTATTCATCAGGCATGGTGTCAGATTCCTCGCATCACCTTTCAACATCTCATGGAGTCAATGCCAAGAGGAATCGCTGCAGTATTGAAGGCAAAAGGTGGCCCAACAAAGTACTGATGGGGTGGTCATAATAATCTGGCCATTCAGTGTATAATTAACATGATTGGATGGAAAATAAAAATTCTGTGTTTAGGCAGGAGCTCCAATGACATTAAAATTTTTTAACTTTTGCTGAGCTCTTTACATTCTTCCCTATCCATATGTGGTTTGGGGGAGATTTGGGCAGAGATTATGCAAACAGTTTGGGGCTCCTTGTCTCTGGCTTTCTTCTTTGTGTGACTTTCCCCTAACCTTTCTAGTGGCTGTGATTGCCCTGAACTCTGTCCTCTGGTTTGTAAAGTCTAAAAATTAGGCATTCTATCAGTTATTAGGTGCTTTGCCTGGTTCAGCTAGGGCTTGCCCTCAGAATAGGAGCCAAAAACCAACAATCTTAATACTTTTGGTCAACTTCTCTCAAGAATCTATTCAATAATGGGATAGCTTTCAAATGTTAATATTTATATTTTGTTCATAGTTTATGGTGGTTATGTATGGCAGGGCTTGTCTAGTAGGAATTTGCTCTGCTATGCCAGAGCAGAATTGGGGACTTTAGGTATGGTTCCTCAAACTGTCTTCTATCTGCTAAAGAATTCTTGATCTATTTCATGTATGATAGAATCCACTCCTCACAAAGTCAGAACTAAGCTTATTTTGTGTTAAGAACAAAGTTGCTTCTTTCTATAAAATTTGAAATGTTTATATTTAAGTATTTTAGGCCTAAAGAAACAGAGAAAAGAAATGTTTAATTTACTCTAGTTATAGTTTGCCAGATTCAAAGTCAAATTGCATATGGAAAATGAATAGGAAGTTAAAGCTACAGAAATTATCCACCATTATGACTGTTAAGTATGTAGTAAATGTATATGCTCAAATCATCATCTGGGCTGTATGTATGGATTTTAGAAATGTAGTAACTATAATAATAAGTTAATAAAAACAAAAGTACAAAAATAAATACCTCCCTATCTACCTTTATATTGCATCCTAGAAATCAGCAAATGCTCTGGAAACTGAGAACAAAATCCTTCAGGAACAACTCAAACAAGCATTACAGGTAAAGAATATCATGTTCTTTTAAAATTGTTAACAAGTGGAGAAAATATCTATAAAGAGATTTTTTTTAAGTTTGAGAATTGAGTTTATTGGGGTGACTCACATTGTTTAATAAAATTATACAGGTTTTAAAAATGAATAAGTTTGACCTTATTAACTAATAAGTCTGTTCTAAGTATTTTTTCCAGTTTTAAAGTATATTTATTTTACACACTAGGAGTATATTAATAAAATTTAACATCACTCATTTTTTCACAACACTGAGAGTTGTATTTTATTCTTTTTAATTAAATTTATTTGGGTAACAGTGATTAATAAGATTATATGTTTCAAATGTATATTTTTGTGATACATGATCTCTATATAATTACATTGTGTACCCACCACCCAAAGTCAAATCACCGTATATTATCACCATATATTTGATCCCCTTTACCCTTTATTACATCCCCAACCCCTTCCCTCTGGTAACCATCTTATGTCTGTGTCTATGAGTTTTTCTTTGTTTTTCTTATTTGTTCATTTGTTCCCTTGTTTTATATCCCACATATGAGTGAAATGATATAGGACTAAACTAGAAATAAACGTAAACATCCTTAATCAAACAAAAGAAATCTATTTCACACTGAGACAATATTATAAATAAAAGTAAAATACTGTAGTTGTTCCAATTGAACTAAGTTAAACGGGATGCTGGCTCTTACTGCTATTTTTCAATTGTTGCTAAATGACCAAAGAAAGAAGCTACATTTTTATAAGCAGATAGACAAAAATAAAATTACTAAAATATTATATAGTTTTCCTTCTGAAAAGTGTAAGAAAATACACAAATTTGTTATTAATGATATAGTTTAAAAAGGTGGCTGAGGACAAAATAGATAAAAAAGCAACAGCTTTTCTTTTTACCAGAAGCAAACATTTAATGACTGTGTTGTACATCCAAAACTAACATAATGTATGTTAACTGTAATTGAAAAGTAAAAATTAAAAAACAATAAAAAGAAAAAAGAAGCAATTATTTAGAAAAATTCTATTCATCATATTAGGATAGCATAATTAACAAAAATATAGAGTTTTTTATGAAGAAAAATACACTTTACTGAGAGTATAGGTGAACAGTGAAGAAATATATATTTTTGGTTTTGAAGCCTCAATATTATAAATAATTTAGTTTTCTACTTTCTCCAAATTGATATACAAACTTAATGCAATTTATGTCTAGATATAAATGGAATTATTTTTGAGCTTAATAGGACTATTATAATAGTATATATTGAAATAAGAAATTGGTGAATATTTAAGAGAAACAATTAAGGAAGGTTTGCTCATCTAAAAATCAATACGTAAATCAATATACAATGTAAAACTACAATAGCTAAAGCAATGTGGCTCTGGATTTGGTATTGGATAGAAGAAACAGTTGGTAACAATTATTTGGTCTTGGATAGAGCAAGGTTTTCTAAGCATTCTATTACAAAGAGACATGTTAATATACTTATATATTTAACTATATACACTTAAAAGATTTTAATGGTAAAGAGGTATGAGATATGAAGATAAATGGGAGATTTTTTACATAATCTATTAGTATAGATTCTATACTAATAAAAGGGTAATATGCTAATGAGACCAGGGCAACCGGACATCATCCGGATGTCCAACTTCCTCTGGACAAAGCCACGGTGGCAGGGGCCGAGGCAGAGGTGTTGAGGGGTGATCAGGCCAGCAGGGGAGCAAGCAGTTAGGAGCAATCAGGCCAGCAGGGGAGGGAAGTTGGGGGCGACCAGGTTGGCAGGGGAGGGCAGTTGTGGGCAACCGGACCGGCAGGGGAGGGCAGTTGGGGGCGATCAGGCAGGCAGACAGGTGAGCTGTTAGGAGCCAGCGGTTCCTGATTGCAAGAGGGATGCCGGTTTAGGCCCAATCCCGGCAGTTGGACATCCCCCAATGGGTCCTGGATTGGAGAGGATGCAGGCTGGGCTGAGGGACACACCCCTCAGCCCACGAATTTCATGCACCGGGCCACTAGTCCTATCTAATAAAAGAGAAACATGGTAATTAGCCGTACATCCGCTACCCTTCACATTGGCTAATCAGGGCGATATGCAAATTAACTGCCAGCCAAGATGGCGGCCGGCAGCCATGCACTGAAGTGAACAGGGAGGCTTGCTTGCTCCAGTGACTGCGGACTCCAACGTTCCCCGCCTGACTTGCCGGCCTCTCAGCTGCAACTCCAAGCAACTATGTTGCAAATATAGAAGCTAAACAAAACCCCAGAAACCTGCATTAGTCAGCCAGGCTTCAGCCAGCCGGACCGCAACATTATATCAAATACAGAAGGTAAACAAAGGCCAGAAACCTGTTTTCAGCAGCCGAGGCCTCAGAGCTAAAGCTGGCCCAGAATAAAAAAAGAAAAAGAAAAAAAGAGCGGTTGGGAGCTTCAGTCACCCACCAGCCTGAAAACGGCCCTCAGCCCCTCAGCCAGACTGGCCAGGCACCCCAGTGAGGACCCCCA